CATAGTGCTACGTAGATTTTTGTCTACTGAACGAGTAGCCAGCCTAGCTGCTATCAATATCTGTGTAGCAGCTAGGCTAGCTACAGTTCAATAGTCATAAATCTACGTAGCCCTATGTAGCCGCTACGATATTGAACGCAACCCTGGTATAATTCAATGCCACAAACAGTAAGAGAATTATTCATCCACTACAAATAACTATCCAACTACACTGTAGTCTGTACAAATTGATATCAGGTCCGTTTGCTCCCAATACACCTTTAATTTGCACCCTACACGTTCACCCCTGGGTCAGTTCACACCTTATTTTTATATTCAAATACCGGTCCGAATCATTTGATGTTTTTTAGATGTATATATAAAAATATTTATATTTTCATGAACATGATGAACAAAAATTTGGGGATTTTTAAACATGTTACCCTAAATGAAGTTTTTTTTTAATGATTGGATGATTGTAATATTTATTGTTTTGAGTACTTTTTGGAATGTACATATATATGCTGGTACCTTCAATCTTCTTAACACATGGAAATAAATGCTCTGAAGGTACTTATAGCTGACATGTAACACCAAAAACACCTAAAAAAAACGTGATTTGTGGCCTGGTTTTTGTGTTATTCTGGCAGAGTCATTGTGACGAGTTTGATAGCCGTTTGGTATCTTCCTTCTTTCTTTTACAAGTCTTACATGAACGAACTTTGCCATGATCATCTTGACAATTTTTTATTTATTATTCTTTTCGTCAAAATTAATTAATAAAACACTAAAGGAAACCTGTTTATGTTTTCAGAATGTCACTTCATTTTGAAACAATAAAAAAAACTTATTTAAAGCAACACATTAACAAAAACACAATTCCAAAATTATTCAACACAAAACCAATAAAAAGGGTGCAAATGGACCAAAGGTGTGAACGTTTGGAGTGCAAATGTGAAAGTTGGCGAACATGAATGGGAGGGAATGTGATTTGGGCGAGCAGACCTGGATTCTTACAGACTACAGGACAGTCTCTGAGCAAACTCAATACTGTAAAAGTAGTTATTAACAGATAAAAACTACATGTATGGCCCCTGAAGTAACTAAAAAAATTCTTAAGGGGTCTCTGTACTTTTAGGGTAAGGGTTCATTTAAAGAACAGGCTTAGGCTAAGGTTTATGTTAGGTAAGGTCAGGGCTGACTGTCAATGGTGCTATTGCTAGGTACAATGTTATAGTTGAAATTGGTTTAGTATAGATCTCCACTAGTTAGAACATCTATAGGTAAAAGAAGGCCAACAATTAACCCTGTTCCATGAAAAGTCATTTTTGACAAAGTATAGCCATTAACCATGTTGACAGTTGCATTTAATTTTAAATTATTATCATGTGTTTAATTTAACTCAATTGAAACCTTAACCTTCAAAATGATTATGCAACAACTTGCCCCTTTAAAGTGATGTGATATAATAAATATATTTGGGCTGTCATTTGTTTCCCCAAAATTCACATGTAGAGAAAGAAAAATTTTGTTATGTTATTGGAGATGGTTCTCGACAATTAATATCATGAACATGGATTAAGAAAATACATAAAAAATATATATATTTCATGTATTTACAACTTGGAACATATCAAAATGCATGTCGAAGAATGTTAAACAAATAATCTTATCGGGGCATTGTCTGGAGTGTACAAATGTATATAAAGTCAATGACATTTGATTTTTTCTACAAATAAGACTTAAAGTATCCATCCTTAACCATTAATTGGCTAAGGCTTTTATCAAATTAATTATTATGATTATACTGGTGTATAGCAGAGTATGAATTAAGAGACATTAGACTAATAAACAACTGAAACTCCACTTATTTTACATTTGTTTGTACATGTACCTAGTAAAATATCTGTTCTTGCAGGTTTTTTTAAGAACTACAAATGTATTTCTAATTTAACTGTTGTGAAATATTGTATCACATGATGAGTTACAGTGGTGGAAACTTTTTCTCTAATTATTTTTTGACAATATCAAATGGATTTGCAGATTAATTAATCTTATGTTTTCAATAATCTGCGAAACAAATTTTGTTCTTTATATATTACGTCATCGGACATGGTTGTCCTTTTCCTTTGCAGTAAAATAATGAAATTCAATTACTATAAATTACAAATGCAATACAGAAAATATGTAATATGTACATGTATCTGTCACCAAGGTCCCACAGCACTGTTAGATAAGGGGGAGCTAACTCGTATGTGCAGGAACCAAGAGACAGGGGGTCAGTCTATCACTAGACTTAATGTTCTGATAGGCATAGCTAAAACGCAAGGAAGGTTTTCATAATTTAATTAACGATAACAATTTAGAGGAATGATGATAACAATCTATTAGTAAACAATGCCAAATAATAATAATAATAAAAGTACAAAGTAAAAAATCTAAATATCAACTCCAAAGTAAAACTATTTCTCCTTATAATGTAAAATGTAAAATAAATGCCAAAACTACTAAATCATATAATGAACTTAATCTCAAAATCAAAATGTAAAAGTCTCAAAAATAAAAGATTCCCAAAAGTATTTTCCAAAGTTAAATTATGAGTCAGAGATAAATTTTGTCTCAACACTACACAGTCAACTGGTAGACTGGTAGACAGTCTTATAGGTCCAGTATCATGACGTGAGTAGTGAGAGGTTACGCTTCCGAAACACTGACTGCTTTTACAAAAAGTTTCTCAATAATTTTTATTTTTTACTTAGAACTCCTAAATCACAGATTAGAATTTAATGAAATTTTCTCATAATCTTCACTATATAATGCCATACTTCACCTATTTTGATTTTTTATCTGAATTGTTTTTAGTTTTCCTTAGAAATCATGGACTTAGTTTTCATGGGGTACTCATTTTGTATCCACAGCTCCTCTGTCACTAAACTTTCTCCATGTTCTCAGAACATGAATAGAAGAATGTTAATGGGGACCTCCCATTTTGATTTTTGATCAGAAATATTTTTTTTTGTTCCCCTTAGCAAATCACAGGCTTTGCCAATGCCTTATATATCTAGGGGAGTGCCTATTTTGTATCTGCAACTACTCCTTACCTCTTTATAAGAATTGATTGAAACTTTCTCATAATATTCTTAACTGCAGAGCTCCAGATAAGAATTCACAAATTGGGGTTTTTACCCACCATTTTTTATGTAATTGGGTGATAAAGTTTTTTTAATTGCATTATCAATTCCAATTCACCCCTCAAGCAAATATCAAATTGGGTTTTTCACCACCAAGCTCCTTAATGTATTGGGTTTTTTCATCAACACAATATTGAATATTTAGGCATGTTATAATCACATTATATCAACCCCAGATGTGTTTCCATCTTAAATGTGTTTCTTTCTTTGTAGAATATGTGCTAGCTGTTTTATTTGGTTTATCCACTGACGAGCAATTGTACATTTAATTTGTGTCCCGTTTTAAACGTTCTGTCAGTTTTGTATTTTCTCAAAACTTATGTAAACTGCAGCTGGTGTCACTAGTTGGACAGGAACTAATTGCCTTTCTAGATCCCATATGATCACCCTACAGTTTAATTATAGTTGGGGTAGGTGTGGCTAAGTGTTTAGATTTTTTTGTAATATATATGAAATTTAGGTGCTGTAAGAAAGTTTTGCCAGTCCTTTCACCTATTTGCCAGATCTACTTTTTAATAAAAATAAAAAGTAGTTTCCAGATTTAAGATATACCCCAAAACCTTGAGGTTTATAGGGTGGTTTATAATGACGGAGACCACATTCAACTTTAATTTACAAATAATTCTGCAACATCAAGTAAATAAATGACAATGTTATACTGCACTTGCAAATAAGACAACTATCTTAAGCATCTAGAACAATTAGACCAAAACAAAGAAAGTGTCAAGCTGCATTGACGTAAAAAACGGATATGTGTATTCACTCATCAACTAAAATGAAAAAAATAATATATAAACTGTTTTCGTTTAATTCAATTTACATAAATCTGGGTTAAATTGTCCCTTATCAGAACTTTTGGTTTCCGATGCTTTCAAACTACATATCATGTCATAATTGATTTGGCCTTTCACTTTTTCCAACTGATTTCGTTTTTGACGGAACCCCGTGTTTATCGCTCTTGCAATGTTCTCGTTATGGTACGCAAACACGCCCGTGCGTTCAATGGCCGCTTCCTAAAATCACTAGCTGAGTCTTGTTTTCATCATAACTTTCCCTCAGCTATCAAAAAGAAGCCGAAAACATGCTTATATTCAATATTTTTACCGGACATTTACTTTCGTTTTAATTCATTGTATGTTATGATAAATCCCGAGCAATTCGAAAAAATATGACAGCATGTAACACGCTAATTGGATAAACGCCGAGAAGATCGAAATGTTTTCATAAACACGTGTACCTTTTGAGCAACGGAAAATTCCAACAGGGACCCATTACAGCTACTTGATGCAGGGTTCTATTTTTAGAACGAAAGGACATTTCCAATTATAAATATTATAAAAATAGATTTACGCGACGACTGTAATCAAGTAAGGGTAAATAACGCAAACGATAGCGAATAAAAGCGTTAAGAACCCATGTTTTTGGCATATAATTGGGTTTTCCTTTGAATTAATTGGGTTATTGAATCCTACAAGGGGCAATTGCATTGGGTTTTTAATTATTTTTATTGCGTGATCACTCAAATACGCAGCTTATCTGGAGCTCTGTAATAACTTAATATAAATGCCATTGTCATTTGTGCACCTCCTATTTGGTTTTTTTTTATCTATATTTAAGATATCTTGGGGTTGCCCTATATCATAGACCTTGTCATTGCTTTCTGTAGGGTATCATTTGGGTGTCATATCACTACTTAATCCTCTAGTTTGACATAATTTTCTCAAATCTAAGATGTTTGCATGTTTTATTTAGTGTTTATAACATTGAATGGGAAAGTACACAAATTGTCTCTGATTTTAGACAGGCTCTCATTCATATTTTTCTACAGGAGACAAAGTGACTATTTGTGAGTTAGCTATAGTGACTTGGTCTTTAATGACTTAGTCATGTTTAATGGATGTGTAAGTCATGTAAGTAAGATTGATTTTGACCAGTAACTCTGCTCAGGTTTTATTTGTTTATTTCCTAATTTAGAGTAAAGGGTTAATTGATATTAACATTTATTAATTGAATTGAAATACATTATTATACATGTATTAACATAGAATTGTTATCATTTATGAGTAAAAAAGTTCATGTTTTGGCAATTAAACCATAAAAAAAACAAGATAGAACAGCAATTCATAATGCCATACAAAAGCAGTGATAAGGTATCAATTTGATGACAGAAAAATAGACGCAATTAAGATTTCGTTCTAATCCATAAATATTAAACATCTTCTGAAAGTGTTACTGTATTATGACTGGTAAATTTGAGATAATGATACTTTTCTTGTTTTATCAAAACTAATTGGTCTTTTAAAAACAAGAGAAAAGATAAACAATTTATTTATTACTTATAAATACGTAAATCAGATGTACAAAAATGTAATCATCTAGTATCTTCGGGGCGATTGCCCCTCAGATATATGAGAAGCTTACATGTAATACTGACAGTGTAAAATGTATTGTGTGCCTGTAAATTAAAAATCTTGCTGTATAAAATGTAATGCTGTTTAGTGAAGTCTGTTGTTTTTCATTTTAAATCTTTAAAAAGTGTGAGTAGAAACTGATTTTATTTAAAATAATTTTTACAAGCTTTAACAAAACCTTTGGATAGCTTTTTCATTATAATAGAATTGATGAATAGCATTTAGATATATACATATTGTTTTTAAATGCTTAACATCTAACAAGTAGTTGACTCAAAAGGTGAGGGTAGAGATCAAGTTTGAATGAAAGCCTTGATATTTGTATGTTTTCATCTAGAGTTGGTTAATGCTGGCTTTTTTAACAGTTGACTACTTTTTCAGTGTCTAGGTTGGAGATGTCAATGGTTCACTAGGTCAAACAAGAATTTAAGACTACAATTATTATTTTTTTGTGGATCTTCTCTATGTAGCATACATGTAATATTTAGTTTCGGGAACAGGGTCTGGTCATCTCTGCAGTGTTTGTGTGGGTGACATGTCTTACTAGACTGAACCAAGAGTAAAGTATATTTTGTCATCATGTTTGGGTGAGCATGGTGAGTGTGTTTGTTCAAATTCAGTCAGCACTGTTAGCCACTAGTCTGATGCCCCAGACTAGTAAAATTTTATTCAGACTAGTAAGTATTTGTAAAACTTTGTTAAGACTCATAAGAAAAATGTCAGAAATATTGGTCTTCAGACTAGTAGTTGGAAAAGATTTTAATTTTTGGTGCAGACTGCAAATTGATTTTTATCCTTTATTTCATTAAATTTAGATTTGTCAGTTGAGTGTGGAAGTTAATAAAAACATTATATTTGTGACCATGCAGTGATAAGAAATTAAAAAAAATTGATGTTTTAGAGATGATTTAATTAAAAAACCAAATTTTAGAAATTCATGAACTGATTTCCTTAATTTCAGGTTAATTTTAAACAGTTTACATTTGATGTGGGTGTTATTTGCTGGTACAATATAGATAAAAATATGATGATTGCTTCCTGTCTATTTTTGTTTATCATCTAGGGGTAAATTCAGTAAATAAATATACGTCATCAGGGACTGCCCATTTGGGGGAGAGCTTTCTGTATAAAACTGAAGTCATGTGCTCTTCTGATTGGTAGATAATGTTTTTGTAATAAATATTTTTTGATAGATGGATAAAAACTAGAGTTGAAAAAAAATAAAAAATAAATGCTGAATGTACTAAATTTTTTTACTACAGGGTTGAAAAGTAATGGGGGTCAGTGAAGGAATTAAGTGCGAATCTACAGTGTTTGTAAACAAGGCCATGTGAATGCCCAAAAATGCCGCATGACCCTATGTTTTTATTGTTGCAAATGATAGGGCTACATTTGTACTTTCATGAATGATATATGAAATTTTCTAATTTCTAAAGGTAAATCAGGTATAAATTTAATTCAAGACATAGATTAGCATTACAGTCAATGGGAGATTTTTTACTGAATTTACCCCTATAGGAAAATATGCATTCTGTCACTGTACTTGTCCAAGGCCACACAATAATCACAAAACTTATTTCCTGTGTATATTAATGTAATGGAAGCATTTTGGAACCATTTGAAGTTGTTTTTTACACAAATTTCTATGTTTAACTCGGCTATCCAAGATGCACTGAGTGTACTGTGAGAGGAAGCATGGGGTATATGGTAAAAATCAGTTTTTGTGTCCAGATTGAAAGAAACAATAGAAATTACACTTGAGAGTTATGATATCAATGAAAGGCATAAATATTCCCCCCATTTTACAACACATTTTGCACATATTTCTCCTCATTATGTGTAAAATCATATGGAAAATCAGAATTACCTCCCTTTGACAGTGTATTTTTTGTAGCTGTGTTTCACCATGTTAAGTTGTAGAACAAGTTGTAAATAAGCACTTTTCAAGTATTTTAACACTTGAATAATCTGACCGCATGAAGATATTCATTTATTTTTACATAACGCATTGCGTTTCTTTATTTAAAAAAAATTGTAGATAACTTTTATGATTACATGCCCATCATCTATGAAACTAGTGTTGAAATGTTTGTAATTGGATTACTATGTTAAATAATTGCTTTTAAATATTCTAAATTGTTACTTTAATCTTCCAAATGCAAAGTTTGGTCATACCCAGTCTTATTTTTTCATATTTGGCACTTTTTTCTACTTCAGTTTTGTCTTTCTAGTTTTGGCGAAGAAACCATCCTGATGTTGGGGTAACAGGAATTTCTGCAGAGTGATTGTCAATGACATTTTGTGAACTTTACAAGTAATTAAAACACAAATTTAGTAAAATGAAACATAATTGTTGGTTTTTTTTGTATGAAACTGCTTAAAAAAGCCTTTGAAAAGTGTTTTTGTGGTCTTTTCAGGGTATTTAATCAAAAACTTCCATATAAGGCAAAATTTAACTAAGAGTACATCAAGACTTTAGTTTCTAGATGTACTTGCAATACTGGTCAAAGCAAACACAGAAAACAATTCATATTTATTAAGCATAGTATTTTACACCATTCTTTTACAAACAGTCAATATGCAACTTTATATACCAAATATACATTGGCCGCAGTATGGGCTGTAGTATAAATTTTCCTCTATCTTTACAAGTTCAGCATTTATGAATGTTGTATTGAAACTGGAACTTTAAAATTGGATACATTACATGATTATTACAAAAAAAGAGGGAAAAGCTACTAAAAAGTCCCTTATAGGGGTAAATTCAGTAAATAAATATACGTCATCAGGGACCGCCCATTTGGGGGAGAGCTTTCTGTATAAAACTGAAGTCATGTGCTCTTCTGATTGGTAGATAATGTTTGTAATAAATATTTTTTGATAGATGGATAAAAACTAGAGTTGAAAAAAAAAAAAAAAATAAATGATGAATGTACCAAATTTTTTTACTACAGGGTTGAAAAGTAATGGGGGTCAGTGAAGGAATTAAGTGCGAATCTACAGTGTTTGTAAACAAGGCCATGTGAATGCCCAAAAATGCCGCATGACCATATGTTTTTATTGTTGCAAATGATAGGGCTACATTTGTACTTTCATGAATGATATATGAAATTTTCTAATTTCTAAAGGTAAATCAGGTATAAATTTAATTCAAGACATAGATTAGCATTACAGTCAATGGGAGATTTTTTACTGAATTTACCCCTCTACTCAGCTTTCATCAGTGTTCTATTTTTAGCTGATCTTATTAAAGTCTGTTTCATATAAGACATCTGCAAATTATATTTAATGTAAAATTTCAGAAGTTTTATCAATTTTTTATGAAAAGTTGGTAAGTTACTTTCAGTAATTGGTAAATGCTTGCAAAAATTTGTAGCAATATAAACTTTAAATATGAAGACAGATTGAGATAGCTCTGAATAATAACCATTTGGAAATAGGTATATATTTGCTGCTGAGGTAGCAAGATGCCTTCACTTCCTGTGGAAAGTTATGGAGATGGTAGAACTTTTCTGTGCATGTTGTTCATGTAGAACCTATATTTACAGAACAGTTGATGTAATATTAATGGTTTGACTATTAATACAGTATTTGTAACAATGAAGCAAAATGGTCATTCTTTGCCTTCCTGCATGTCTAAAGAGGACTTTCTAAATGACATGAAGAGAAAATAGTTTTGCTTTACTCTGTAGATCTTATATTTGATATTTGTGGGCATTTTCATAGGCGGATCCAGAGGGGGGGGGGGGGGGGCCTTTTGTGGGAAAATTTGGTTGATTATATAGGGAATCACTGAAGCATGACTGGAGCAGGCCCCCTCTTATGTCAGTCAGTGGGCCCCCTTATAAAAAGTTCTGGATCCCCCACTGATTTTTTATACGACCGCAAAAAAATTTTGTGGTTGTATATTGGTATGACGTTGTCGTCGTCGTCGTCCGAAGACACATTGGTTTTCGCACTCTAACTTTAGTTTAAGTGAATGGATCTTTTTGAAATTTGACCATAAGATTAAATACCACAAAAGGAAGGTTGGGATTGATTTTGGGGGTTATGGTACCAACAGTTAAGGAATTAGGGGCCAAAAATAAGCATTTTCTAGTTTCCAGACAATAACTGTGGAACGGTGTATGGATCTCTCTGAAATTATACTACAAGTTTCCATACCACAAAGGGATGGTTAGGATTTGCTTTGGGGGGTTATGGCTCAAACCGTTTAGGAATTAGGGGCAAAAAAGGGGGAAAAACAAGGTTGTCCTGGTTAATGGACAAATACTTTAGTACAAAACATAATTTAAAGCAGTGTAAGGGAGATAAATCAAATACATCATTGAAATTATCTCCCTTACACTGCTTTTAAATTATGTATAAAGTAATGGTTAATGAACAATAAAGATAATTTAAAACAGTGTAAGGGAGGTAATCCAAATACAACGTTTTGGTTACTTCCCTTACACTGCTTTTAAATTATGTTTAAAGAAATGCATATTTATAAAGGAAGA